CCTGCAGGGGAGGGCAGTTGGGGGTGACCAGGTAGGCAGGGAAGGGTATCTGGGGCAACTAGGCCTACAGGGGAGGGCTGCTGGGGGTGACCAAAACTGCAGGGGAAGGCAATTGAGGGCAACCAGGCCAGCAGAACAGTTAGGTGTCAATCAGGCTGGTAAGGGAGTGGTTAGGGGGTGATTACACTGACAGAAGCGGTTAGACTCTAGGGGTGTCGAACTCAATCAGAGAAGGGGCCAAAATCTAAAATCCAGCCTAAATCGCGGGCCGAATGGTTTACTGAACAGTCATAAACTGTCATTGTGATGGAAACACAGCGGAGTGCAGTGATGACAGCGCAGTGCGGGCCACATTGCAAGGCCTGGCGGGACGGATTTGGCCCGCGGGCCTTGTGTTTGACACATGTGGGTTAGAGGCAATCAGGAAGGCAGGCAGGTGAGCTGGTTGGGAGCCATCAGTCCTGGATTGTGAGATGGATGTCTGTCTTCCAGTTTAGGCTCGATCCCTGTGAGGTCCCAGATTGGAAAGGGTGCAGACTGGACTGAGGGACAATTCCCTCCCCCCAGTGCACAAATTTCATGCACTGGACCTCTAGTTTTGTTATAATTATTCTATTTTTAGTTATTGTGGTTAATCTCTTACTATGCCTAATTTACAAATCACTTTATTATAGGTATGTGTTTAGAGGGGAAAAACATTATCCTATATAATAAAAGTCTAATATGCAAATTACCCCCTCAACTGGGAATTTGACTAGGGGGCAAGGCTGGTCCATCAACCACCTGTGGCCGCTCCCCTGGTCAGCCCAGCTCGATCGGCCCCAATCAGTGTGGGCTGGCCTGACCCCACCCATGCACTAATTTATGTACCAGGCCTCTAGTATACATATATAACTATGTATACAGTTTGGTGTTCTGCAGAGTTTTAGACATTCACTGGGGATCTTGGAATGTATACACATGGATAAGTGAGACTATTGAATTAAAAAGACTGTAGACTTTGATTGTAGCCCCCTGTAATCAAATATATTAACATATATTTATTGTGCAATGAAAAATGTGAATTTTCAGATTAGGTAGGATGAATGAGAATTATGAGCAGGCCAATGGTAACTCAAGTCAGGTTTTGCTGCCAAATGAATGATAACAAAGTACTTTTGATTTCCAGAACTTTGTGGATTTTGGAATGGTGGATAAGGGATAGCAGGTTCAGGAATTCCCATTTATTTGACCTCTCAGTGGGAAGGAAATGGGTGAGGATGGGAGGATTCAGTATTTTTCATGATACTTTTTGACATCCTCTTATTTCCCATGATTATTTTTGAAATGTCCATAGTTAAATACTTCCTTTAGAAAGCACTTCCTGTGCTGTGTTTAGTTCAGTTTTTTGTTTGTTTGTTTGTTTGTTTTTCCCCTAATGCAACAACAGCAAAAAAACTTTGTTAAGAAATAAAACACAGCTGGTGTGGCTCAGTGATTGACTATTGACCCATGAACCAGGAGGTCATGCTTCAATTCCAGGTCAGGGCACATGCCCTGGTTGGGGGTCAATCCCCAGGGGGGCATGCAGGAGGCAACTGATCAGTGATTCTCATCATTGATTTTTCCAACCCTCTTGTCCGCTTCCTGAAATAACATTAAAAAAAAAAAAAAAAAAAAAAAAAAAAAAAAAAAAAAAAAAACACAATAGTAATTTAATTTGGCAATGTATTCATGCCAAAATACATTGTGCTTTTCTCCTCTGGAAAAAAAAGATGGGATATAAGGTGTTATTTATCATATCATAACTACACCAAAGTTATTATCTATTTAAGAATAATATATCTGGCACCAAACTTGATATGTAGTCGTTTTTTTTCCCTAGCCAATTTTTTCCCCAAGCAATTTTCTGACACTAATTGGGAGTCCTACAATTCCACTCAATTCTGACAGGATCCACCTGGAGACCATTCAGGGGTCTTCAAACTACGGCCCGCGGGCCACATGCGGCCCGCAGAGGAGTCTGATCTGGCCCGCCAGGTTTTTTGGGCAGTGAGCGCAGCCGAGGTGTTACAGTAGGAATTAGTAGTTCATATAGTCCGGCCCTCCAGCTCTCTGAGGGACCGTGATCTGGCCCCCACTTCAAAAAGTTTGAGGACCCCTGGAAGAACTCAGCCCTACAAGATTACCCGCTCCCTCTATAGACACCTGCTATATATTGGAGGCTTCCACCTCCTTCTCCTCAGGTGAGATTAATTTGTTAGAGTGGCTCTCAGAACTTTATTAAATCACCCATTTATAAAAGTCAGGGCACATGCCCTCTCTGAGTGTGCCATTCTCCCTATATATCCTTGTGTCCACCAACCAGAAGCTCTGTGGACCAGTCCTTGTGGGATTTTATTGAGTTATCATTGCAGAGGCAGGACTGATTACATCACTGGCCATTGGTGATTGAATTCAATCTCTCCACACCCAGAAATCAGGGTTTTTGGGTCCAAAGGTGTCAACACTTTAGTCACAGGGCTGGTTCTCCTGGAAACCAGGCTCCTATCCTTAGGTGACCCAGGGGCCTTCCGAAAGCCCCTCATTAATATAAACTCAGGTGTGGTTGGAGGGGGTTTGTTATGAATATCAAAGTATGAATTTGTGGCAAGCACATGGAAATTGAGCAAACCCCACAATCTGTGTTAACAAAATACACACAACATTGTGTTATAGTGAGGAAAACAAATAAACTTGGTTAACAAAATACCTACTCCAGGGACGCCATTTCTGTTCATTGTTCTCCTCAAAGATACAATGCGGGATCATGGGAAAAACCAGCTTTCTGACTAAGGAGTTCTAGGCCCACAGCTGTCCCCAGTGCACCTTGTAACAATGGCAAGTCTTTTCCCTGGGAAATGGGTATATTTGACCACAGGCTGATAATCAAAGTATTGAACTTGTTACAATTGAATCGAAGAGTGAAAAAAACAAGCCCCCGTCTCATTCTTTCAGTTCTTCTGGTTGTAATAAAAAGGCTCAGCCTAGTGCTAATAATTCGTAATATTTGCCAAAATATCTTTTAAAAAACTATTATTTTTTTCTCAGTTGGGGAACGTATATGTGTAAATATTTACATATTTATTTAAGCAGTTTTATTTAGGTATAATTTAAATAAAATAAACCATCCATATTAAAATGTATGATGTGCTAAATATTGACTTAAAGCTAAGTATTTGAAGCTATCACTATAATTTATAAATATCAACATATCCATCATCTCCCAAAATATCTTTATACCCCTTTGTAATAAGTATCCATCTCACTGATTTTTTCAGAAACTGAAGGTGTTTTCGTGACCAGTACATAGATCCACAGAGCCCAGAGCCCTCTTTCCTTCCTGCCTTGTGATTTGGTTGCCTCTGAATGCCAGTGGCTCGAATCTTCTAAGTACCTGATGCTGACTCTATCCCTAGCTTATGTCTTCTCAATACTGCCCTGACTATGCTGAGTCAGACTATTTGAGTTCAGATTGGGGCTTCATTTACCCCTGGGCAAATTCCTTAGTTCTTTTTACCTCAGTTATCTAATGTGTGAAATAGGTGTGCTGTGTCTACTGCATACAATTATTATAGAGATTAAATGAGGCAATCTTTGTATTTAGGACTGAAAATTAATTTAGGAACCAGGCATGTTAAGTATGAGCTTTTAGAAAACTGCCTATTTGCCTGTGATTTTCCAGATTCTTTTTATTGGTCTCAGGTGAGTTGAGAGGGAGGACTGTATCAACAGGGATTTTGGAGCATCCTGGCACAAAGTACAATAGTTGCTCAATAAGCACTCACTGGGTCATCTTTACTTAAGAACTTGGTCTTTATAAAGAGATATCTAAAGCCTGTTTTATCCAGTTGTGGCTCATAAATTTGGTGAAAGGTCACTCGTTACCCACAGAGAGCAAGGAAGCCCAAGTAAACATGTACTTTTTGCTAGGAATGCACTCTGTTCACCTCTACTAAGTATCTGACCACCAGGTTTCCCCAAAATTGCTTTTTCAGATTCTATGTGAAAATGGAGACATAGAGCTATGAAACTTGAATTTTAAGAAAGTAAGATTGAATCACCTTGTGTGCTAGTAACATTTTCTTTCTTGATCTAGGTGCTGATTACATGGGGTATTCATTTGAGAAAATTCACTAAGCTCTGCACTTTTTAAAAAAGATTTTAGTATATTTACATATATTCAAATGCACAAATCTAAAGTATTTAACCCAATGCATTTTTACCTGTACTTGCAACCAGGTAACTCTCACCTAGATCAAGATATAGAATATTTCCATCGCATCTGAAAATCCCTTGTGTCCTGCTTGCCAAGTATAAGGATTTTTATTATTTTAATCACCGTAGACTTAGTTTTACCTGCTCTTAAACAGGTAAAAGGCATCATACAATATATACTCTTTTGTGTTTGACAGATTTCTTAGTTTTAATTAGAAAGAATTAAATAGTTTTTTTTAAGTGTTTGTACCATTTTCCACCAATGATGTATGAGAGTTCCCATTGCTTCATGTAGTTGCCAACATTTGGTATTTTCAGAGTTTTTAAAGCTGTATATTTGTGTACAATTCTCTATGTGTACACTCTCCTTCAAGAAAAAGTTATATAATCAAACCAATAATAAAAATGATGGTGGTTGGGTCTTGATACTCTGAAAATTGAAAAAAATCATCTGAATATTTTGTTGACATTGGCCAGGAATCCAATAACTGAATGTTGCCTTATTTAATTGGTATATTTTTATTTATATTATGCAAAAATATTGTGATTCAGCCTTAGAGTTTGTTGGGGAAATATTGTTTCTGAAAACACACACTCGCGCGTGCGCGCGCACACACACACACACACACACAACACACAGGTCTTCCCAAAGTTTCCTGGAGAGAGATTTTCATCTCCATTGCCTTTAAATTTTGGTAGGAGAATGTATGATTTAGTGCCTTTGGACTGGAGCTCACTGCTTTTCTTCTTCTTTCCCATTTCAGAACATAAATGCCAGGTGGATGAACAGGAACAGTTGGAGGAAACCTTGCCCCTGATCTTGGGGCTCATCTTGGGTTTCGTCATTGTGATAACACTGGTGATTTACCACATCCACCACAAAATGACTGCCAACCAGGTGCAAATCCCTAGGGACCGGTCCCAGTATAAGCACATGGGCTAGGGGCCATTAGGCAGGCAGCCCTAAACCCTGTCCCTCACCTGGATCGGATAGAGACACAAAAGCACTTTACCACCTTGTACATGGGATACACCAACATAGCTACAATCCAGCAGTCCTGGGTATCCACAGCTTGCTTGGCCAGTGTCCATGCTTAAACCCAGGGATGGAGGGATCCTTTTGGCTGCAGGGGGTGAGTGGCAATTGTTCTCTCTATGCTGGAGAATGGGAATAGGGGGGTCAGCCAGCTTTCATGCTCATGGTGGCTTGGCTTTGACTCTTAAAGGAGCAACACATAAAAGTCAGAGGAATATCTGGCCCCAAACTTTACAGATTGGAAAGACACTCCCTTTGGGAAGTCACCCCTTTAGAAATAGGGGTGTTTTGGTCCCTTGAACACAGCTGGCTAACCCTACACAATTGTCAATGCACATGAAATACAACCTCATGCTCCCTGCGGCAAGACCCCTGAAAGTGACCCACGCTTCTGGCTGGCATTCTGCATGTCTAGTGAATGTCTTGGAATGTTCCACGGCTACCTGCACCCAGTGACTTCGCAGCACAAGCATCTGGTCAATGCCACTCTACAGAGTTGTATGGACTTCACAGTGTGCCAGGTCCAACTAATGGGACCTGAAGAATCAATCAATCCATGTGAGTTTGTTTTTCAGAATGAATTAAAACACTACAGTCTAAAGTTTGTCTGCTTTCTTGAAACAAGAAAACAAACCTAAAATGATTTCTTTGGCATCCAGAGGAGAGAGGGGAATGATCAAAAGGAGAAAAAGCAAAGAATGAAAAAACATTCTTTGCTTTTTCTCCTTCCTGCAGGAGAAAAAGCAAAGAATGGGCAGGCGGCATTGAAAGGGATGTGGACCTTTCCAGGTGATAGGACATGGATTTCTTTGGCAATTATACATCGTCTTAATGATGGCACATCTTAGCAATTGGTCTGATATTGCCTGTGATGCTTCTTGGTCTTGAGTTTGGTATTTCACTTTGGATAAAAAGCTGGACTGGCTCAGCTGGGTGTGGCTCAGCAGTTAAGCATTGACCCAGAAATCAAGAGGTCACCAGTACGATTCAGGATCAAGGCACATGTCCAGGTTGCAGGCTCAATCCCCAGTAGAGGGCGCACAGGAGGCAGCCGACTGATGATTCTCTCTCATCATTGATGTTACTATTTCTCTTCCTTCTTCCTTCCTCTCTGAAATCAATTAAAAATATATTAAAAAGCTGGATTGAACATGGTAACCTAGGTGGGGTTTTATTTGAAGTTAATATATTGAAACTTCATAATTTGAATTCCCACATTTCCTAAATAATCATTTTTCAGAAGATCTAAGTGGAGGGGAGAGAAAATGTATCTTCTGGTGTTAAGGTGGACATCCACCACCCCCATGCAGTCTCCACCACATAAGAGGCAGCATGGGTCCATCCCCTCTAGCCTTCCACTGCTGGCAGTAGTGTATCCTTACAAATCCAAGATCCCAGCAAATCTTGATAAATGTCAGCCAGTTGCCGTTTTTACCCATGTGTTTGTTGCTCTTTCAACCTCAGTCTTTTCCTCTGAATCAACTTTCTTCATGTCTGTCTGGTACCGGTGAGGAAAAAGCCTCAATTTCTCATAAAAGTTGCACGTTTCACAGGAAAAAGGAGCTGCCTTTGGTGCCTGTGAACATCTCCCCATGGTTTATTCCATTCTGCTATCACCTGTGATCATCTTGCCCCTGGCCCAAACTGGACAAGCCCTTTCCTTTTTAGCATCCTATGTTGTGACCTCCTCCCCCTCCTCCTCCTTCTTCTCCTTCTCCTCCTCCTCCTCTTCCCCCTCCTCCTCCTCCTCTTCCCCCTCCTTCTCGTCGTCCTCCTCCTCTTCCTCCTCCTCCTCCTTCTCCTCCTTCTCCTCCTCCTCCTCCTTCTACTCCTCCTTCTCCTCCTCTTCCTTCTTCTTTACAAACTTCATTATTTATTGGAATCATCCAAGGACTTTGGGACAAATGGACACTTAGTTGTAGCAATAAGTTAACCTTAATTTCTGTAACCCTTTCAAACGAACTTTTAGAAATTTGAGCCATACATCTGAAAATTTCATATTTACTTTCACAACAGTAAATTTGTATTGTTTTTTAAAATTTACTTTCACAAAACATAAGACTCTATTATTTTTTATAGTCATTATTTTTTATAGCACCCACTTAGTGCAGGCTAAGTGTTGGGTATTCAGTAGTAAGCTTGACAACTTAGAGTCTATAATGGAGGATTGATAAGTAAACAACACACAAGCAGGTCATTCTAAAAAGAACACAGTGCCATGGCTCTTTTTAGAAAGTTGTCATGTGGCCACCTCCCTATGTCTAAGCTGCCTAATTAAATCTTTTTAGGATACAAATTAATTTTTTTATTGATTTCAGAGAGAGGTAGAGGGATAGAGGGATAGAGACATCAATGATGAGAGAGAATCATTGATTGGCTGCCTCCTGCATGCCCCCCACTGGGGATCAAGCCCATAATCGGGACATGTGCCCTGACTGAGAATTGAACCATGACCTCCTAGTTCATGGGTTGATGCTCAACCACTGAGCCACACCAGCCAGGCTATGATCCAAATATTTTCAATCTCAAACTTAAGACTGATTTTCCCACCTGCAGAATACAGTAAGCATGAAAGGGTAGTATTATGACTATCATTGTTATTAATCACATCCTCTTTTTCTAGCTAGCTAGAAAAAGGTCTAAAGTTCAGCCTAATTTCTTTGCTCCTCACTTTATTTCTCTCAGTCATGTCTTCATCTTCATTATCAACTTAACAACATCGGGGTGGGAGGCTGCTGTTTGGGCAGGGGCAGTGATCTGTGGGCAGGAAGACCAGGAGTCCAGAGGCACTAAGTCAGCCCCCATGTCTCAGTCCGGGTCACTGTTTTGCAATTCACAGCTGCTACTATACCAGGAACAAGCTGAGGCTGTAGCTTATCTCTCTGTTGTTCCCCAAGCTCAGAGATGAGAGAAAACAAACGGACAAACCACAGATGCTCAATAATCCCTTTAACTGTCCTTTTTCATTTTTTACTGGAGTTTCAAACACAAGTGCCTCTAGGCACAAACAGATATTGGGTCCGATTGCTGCTCTGCCAGCCTGGAAAAGCCTGGCTGGAGCAATCTTATGCAGGTTTCTATTGGGGGAGCATGAGTTTCATTTATATTCTGAGTGAGGTTCTTGGCAGGGTTCCCCTATATTTGGGAAATAGCTCCCTGGAAGCTTTCTCAGAGGGCAGGGGAGACTTTTTTTCTCCAGTCTAAACTATGACCACTGTCATCTAGCCAATTGCCCAATCTTTCCATGAACAAAGAGGTGGCAAAGACATGTGGGTGTGGGTATGGTGTGGGTGTGGGTGTGGGTATGGGAGGCAGCTGAGAAAGGTGGAAGATGGGAAGAGAGATAGTGGGGATGCCCTGTTGTGTGCGTGTGCTGAGGTGTTTTACCTGGAGGTCATCCAGGCTGCCATTGGGCACAAACACTTCCCTGGAGGAATCGCCTCAGAAAGAGGCAGGCATAGCTTGACGTTAGTGTCAAAGTGCAGTTTGCAAGCAGCCTGCATCAGAATCATCCCAGGGGCCACCGAAAAAGAAACATCAGTTCTAGGACATCATCCCTGACTGAGAATCTCTGCAGTTTTTTTTATTATCCTCCCCAGGTAATTTTGTATAACAATATGAAAACTGGTTAGCACTCGACCTGCATGGCTCAATGGTTGACTGTCGCCCCATGAACCAGGAGGTCACAGTTTGATTCCCAGTCAAAGCTCAAGCCCAGTTGCAGGCTTGATCCCCAGTGTGTGGTGTGCAGGAAGCAACAAATCAATGATACTCTCTCACCATTGATATTTCTGTCTCTCCCTTTCTCCCTGAAATCAATAAAATAAAAAAAATTAAAAAAAAAATATATATATATATTTAAAATCCTTTGCCAAAACCAGTTTGGCTCAGTGGATAGAGCATCGGCCTGCGGACTAAAAGATCCCAGGTTTGATTCCAGTCAAGGGCATGTACCTTGGTTGCCGGCACATCTGGGGGGGGGGGGGGGGCTGTGCAAGAGGCAGCTGATCGATGATTCTCTCTCATCAATGTTTCTAACTCTCTATCCCTCTCCCTTCTTCTCTGTAAAAAAATCAATAAATAATATTTTTTTAAAAGAAATCACTATATTACATCGGTTGGTGATATATCAAAGTTACTTATACTACTCCTTACTTTGAAATTATGGTTGATCTTCCCAAGATATTTTTATTTAATGCTTTATAACCATAACATTAAAACATTTTGATAACTATACTTTAATTGGTTTCCTTTGTATACGCTGATGTGTTTTTACTTGATACATTTAAAACCACTGGTCCATAGGCTTCAGACAGGCAAGAGGGGCCAGGGTGGGAATTAGGTCCAGAGCTCCAGGCCTAATGTATTTTTTAAAATATATTTTTTATTGATTTTTTTTTTTTTTTACTGAGAGGAAGAGAAAGGGATAGATTGATGAGAGAGAATCATCGATCAGCTGCCTCTTGCACATCCCCTACTGGGGATGTGCCCATATCCAAGGTACCTGCCTTTGACTGGAATCGAACCCAGGACCTTTCAGTCCACAGGCTGACACTCTATCCATTGAGCCAAATTGGTTTTGGCTCAGTTGTCATTTAAAGTGACCAAACCCTTTTGGTTGTCTGCTGGGGACGGACTCAGAAAGGTACATGTGACAAATGAGATAAGAAGTATTTGTTAGTACTGGTATGGGTACTAGGGACATATCAGTGAACAAATTAGGTAAACATCCCTGCCCGCATGGAACCGAAGTTTGTGTGTGTGTGTATGTTCAGGTATTATGATTAATGCTGGAAGCCTTGGTTAGTGCATTTAAGATGGATCATACGTCCTTGAAGTCCTTTCTAGCTTTACATTTTATTAAATGCTGACAATAATGAGGCATGGTTTTTAAAACATTTGCTACCTGAACAAACTTCAAGATAAGGAACAACTTTGCTTAGAAAGCAGTACATTTTCGTCCAGAAATCAGTAATTCTTTTTTTTTTTTTCTTGAGTCCTCTTTTTGTCCTTAACCAAGTTTATTTATGTAGGAGATGTTGTTAGGGTCTCACTTCAGCCCTTCCTGAAAGTCACTGGTGACGGTTTCTGCACATGCCCCCGGCTTCTGTGTTCTCCCTCTTCATTAGAGAGAGCAAACTGCCAGGTACAGGTTGAGATGGAAGCTCTAGGAATTGAAGCTGTAGGAGCAACTCTTAACCAATGAGGGATAGGGGATGGTGGACAAAAATCCAGCATGTGTCTCTCCCAGCAGTTCTCCTGTGGGAGCCCCAGTCACCCATTGTAGTAACCTATTCATTAAAACATGTTTGTTTTTTTCAAAAAGTTCCCTCTCCTCTTTGTTATTTCTCCACTCTGCCATGCTGAGTGAACTTCCTCGGATTATCTCCCAAATAAGTTATTTGTGTCAAAGTGTTTGGTTCTCTTTTTGGCAGAATTCACATTAAGGTGATATATTAATTTGAGTGGAAATATAACTCAGAATGCACACATTTTCAGGCTCAAGTTGACCCACTTCACTGCACAATTTGAATTTGTACCATGTCATGTCACTTTCACAGATGCTTCTGCTTGTACATTTTGTACCTAATTAAGAACAAA